CACTACATCTCAAGCTTAAGTTTTCTAACATGGTATATTGAAGGTATTTTTCATACAAAGTTTCGCTACTTGACATGACAACAATACACAACCTAGTGGATGTGCTCTAGTAAACACTCTTGAACATGAATGAGTTTGAATTGAAAAAAACTAAATAATGTTACAATGGACTTTGTGTGTAAAAGTTTTAAAATACATTCAACAATTACTTTACAATTGTACATGCAAAATAGGATTGTCATGGGTTGTGCATGTTAAATTGATTATATAAATAATACAAAGCTTGCCAAAGCCAGAGAATTTAGGAAATAAAATTTAGTTTTTGTTCTGCTTGAGCTCTTAATGCATAGGGACCTCATATGGACAAAATACTATTACAAAGGGACCGAAGGCAATCCCAGTTTGATACCAACAAGGAATCAAAAGTTTAACCCTCGTGCTAAATTTTTTTTGTTGAATTCAGATTGTGACCAAAGAGAAGGACATTGTCCAGACAAGATTCTTCACTTACATCGATAGAACAAGTAGAAATAGTACAATGTGCTCATAACCAATTTCACAAGATAAGAACTTAATGAACCACAATCTGCAAACATTATGACATTCATTGCATGATAAACACGTAGCATTAGATAGAAGAACCAAAAGCTGTGTTGACAACACATATTGCCGATTGAATAGGGGAGGTATATCCATCCTAATCTCCACAGCCACTTTCATGATACTTAGCTAGACACAACTAGCAGACATATGCAAGAAAATAAATAAATAAAACTATAAAATATAGAATAGTAATGGAAACTGGCCAAGCCTGATTAGGTACCAGGGTTTATATTCAGCAACGTACTGCATATATCCCAATAAAATTTACCTCAACTTACAAATATGGTCTCAAGCTCCACTTTTATAGAAACACTTCAGCTATATACCAAGATTTTAGCTAAGTATACAACCTTGGGCATTGCAATTTACCCTACTTGCAAATAGAATCATCATTACTCCTTAGCGAGCTTCACCCGGTTCTCAGCATGTAACAAATCTTGCTGCATCTTTGAAATCCGGAAGAAAAGCCTGTAGAGACAACTCAAAGACAAATAATAAACATTCCAGCTAAAACATTAAGTCAGATGCATGGAATAAATAGTCGAGAACATAGAATAGTAAATATGCAACAAGTCACTTTGAAACATATTTTCAACTCCCAAGTTTACCTCGTTACAAAATATTGGAGCATACACACTCTTTTTTGCCTTGTTATGTTACAAATAAATGCAATGAATATATACACACACATACAAATGTTTTGATTTTTTCCAGAATAAAATAAAATAAACTTTGTATTTCATTTCCTTTGACTTTGTAGGACTCATGGGACTGCTTGTCAGATAGAGGTGACTGTTGTTCATTTGATATTCAGCAAATTTTGACAAGACTAGTTGGCTGGTTGTCAGACCAGGCAGTTGGCATCAACATATTGACACACTCCAAACGTTTCATCACGATCGTGGATTCGAGCTCCGAAGGTTGTGTCATTACGGTCGGTGAGATTCCGCGGCACACACCACAAAAAATTCAGGTACAGTTCCTATGAAAGTTCCACATGTTTTCGGCATCTGACAAACTTGCCGAGTGTATAGTAGAACCGACCTGCAAGAGACGAAGCCAGCTGGGTCCCCTACTCAGAGATCCAGTCACTCACACCGGAGTAGGCTTCTCAGTAAAGTAATTCTGCATCAATTCTCAGCGAAGTTGAAACAGAATCATGATCTTGCATTGTACAGGGCCCGTCCAAAATCGTGACAGTTCGGTGGAGTAAATGCGTGGAGTTAGTGTGCCTCATCGATAACCTTCAAGGGTTGGCCTTTGCAGAAAAAAGCCTGCCAGGTCTTGGTCTCCAGAAGTCAACACCATAATCACAAACTTCACTAACTGCAGCAGATTGCATGGATGGTGCACACATCGGCAGTATCAATTTGTGGCGGGATAGAAATTTGGGTGGCTGGCAACTGTGAAGGACAAATGAAAAAAAATAACCAAATTGCAATATATGTTTTTATAAACAAGGATATGTGTTATATATTTTTTTTATCTATTGTTAAGATTCAATTGTACAATGAAGCTAAAGAGAATATCTTCAATACCTCCATCAAACACAATACAAAACTCTACTCCATTGGCTGAAAAGTGCTGTTCAGAGTTTTGAGTCAAGACATGATCCAATCTTAAGACCATAGTGAAATTAAGATGCACCTTAGGCATGATGTTAGCTGAATTGGTAAGCTGACAAAGTGACAGACTGCCATTGAAGAATTAATTTTTTTTTAGCAAGAGAGGTCAAACAACGTACAAGTCGACAGTCACAGTGACGATCTTTTAAGCTTGCTTGATGCAATGACTAAGTAAGAAATATTAAGGTATTATCGTATTGACTGAGGAAAAAAACAAATGTGGAAATCACAACTACAAGTAAGCAAATGATAACGGTGAGTTTGTCTGAAGGAGTGGACCCCAAAATCCAGAGATTGCACAAGAAAAGTGGGACTGAATGAGTTCTAACAAAGCTCAACATTCTCCACAAATTGACTGTAGTAAGCCGTTATATGCATGTGTGTATTTGTCCCTGGACTTCAACAAAGAGGTTCCTGTGGCAATGTTTTAGAGAATTGTAGATAATTGACAAATGGCACAAAATCTACACGGCACGAAATGGTCCAAAGCTTGGTATTCTAGAGCTAATATGTCTACGTGGAGCTTGAAAGGTGTTTCAAGTGCACCCTCTACCAGCTGTGGTTGAGTTAGAGAGCATCCAAACTGCGAGGAATTCGCATCTGCCTTTGCGTAGTACAGAAAAAGCAAGGTCACAGTGAAGCGATCACTTGCTTTTCTGCCAATACAACTCCTCATTAGCTTGAAAATTCCACACAGTAGAAAAATTCGCACTGCCGCACTAAGAAAACAACCTCACAGTGCTAGGGGTGGTCGAACTGCGGTGTTTGTTGTTCTGCAAGCACTGACATGGCAATTTCTTGGATTGATGAACTCCAGCGGTTGCTCATTTTTACTACACTGGGATTTTTCCGCTCCCGAAAATTTGCGGCAGGTGTTCCGGATAACGGGGCGCCGTAAGTTGACAGAATGAATTAGTAGCAGTCTGACAGCGAGTGAATGGATTTGACTTGATCTCTCCGG